ACACACACACACGCACGCACACACACACACACACACACGCACACACACACCCACACACACACACACACACACACACACACACACACACACACACTCGGAGGCCAAGTGTTGCTGGCTTCAAGCTGTTTTGAGTTTGATGTCATACGACACAGAAAACAAAAGAGAGTTGAACTTTGTATAGTTTGCTAGCTTAATGCTAACCTATAATGCCAAACAACATAGGCTGGCTCATGGAAATGAACATGTATGTTACAGTGATGCTATTTAAAACAAAAACAGATCAGCGACACATTCAAACTAAGCATACTCACAGGGATATTCTTTCTAGTCAACAACAACTGTTACTAGTTTGGGACCTTCTCTGCCTTTCCTTCTTGCTCTTAATTACGCAACATCTCTTCCAGTAAACTTGACTGACTTCGGCGCAACTCTATAAATTCGGACTTGTAAAAATAAATCCCAAAATGATTGCTTAGAATTTTGAAAAAGGCACACACACAAAATGTCAAGCATAAAACTGGAATATAGTGGAATTACATGGAATGCGGTAATGAATAAGTGTGCGCTCTAATTTAAAAAAAAAAAGCCCTCTCAAGAATCCTCTCAACGTTTGAAATGGGCCTTTGCGATGTGCTCTAATCTTCCGTCTCCATCACATAACTCCAGCCGTCATCCAGCAACCAAACACACAACCAAACGGCCAGGAATTCAGCTCAGAGCGTCTGTGGGTTTTTCACAGGACGGGAATTTGTGTCAACTGTAGCCAGCGAGGTCGCGCGGAGCTTTGGATGGTGGGTCCGAGCGGCCGGTGCCAGGATGACAACAGTGAGTCAGTGGGATGACATAACACAAAGACACGTTTTCGTTAAGTACGACTTAGCCGCATGCACAAGAAGGTTCTTCTTCAGGCGTTTGCGTTGAAGGAGGCGAACGCAACGCACGACAATGCAGTCCTCAGTAACGACAACAAGGCAATAAACAAGTTCTGTAAAGCTTTATAGATTGTTTTTTTTTTCCTTTCAGCTGTTGGTGTAGCTTTAAATCAGACTGTTGTAGTGTGTCTGACAATCTTTATGGACGATATAAACAGGTATGTGTTTTTTAAAAAATACTTATTAGGGGTGTGCATAGCATTTGTCATGTTTATTAGCATGAAACAATATGTTAAAAGCTATCCGAAGCCTTCGTATAGCTTTTAATTCCATTTAAATGCATTCAAAGATGGTCAGCAACATCAAACTGGTGCATACCACCAGTATGTAACTTTTTGATACAAACACGGTTCCCCACACATTCAAAGCCCACACCCCACTCGCTGCCCGAACCACATCCTCCGAAGTTTGCCATGCGCTCCAAAAGTGGTCTCTGTTGATCATGACCCACACACATTGCGAAACCACTGCCAATTTGGGCACGACGAGGAGTTTAAAAGTTTCCAAGCAGTTGTGGGCCGCTTCCTACACTGACACATACGCAGAGAGCCAGCGAGACAAGTGGGAGGGATGGCTTTTGAGGTGATACAAAAACAGGAAACGACGACTGCCTGCCGTAATCTCCGAGCTGCCGAACAAGCGAAAGCATCAGCAAAAAAAGGGGAGGGGGGGGATTTAGAGATCAGCGTCCGTCTACATGCATGCACACCGCGCTTATGAGGTCAGACGGCAACTTCAGAATAGCCTCATGTCATTTACAAAAGTATCGGTACACTTTGGGCTGTGTGTTTGTAGGACTTGTATTTTTCACGAGAAGAGCAATAAAGTGGCAAGCCGATAAATAAACGATTATTTGCAATTAAGGATTAAAGGCACTCTTCTGTTTGACTTTTTTTTTTTTAATATACACCCAAAGCTACTTTATCTCCGCTTTTTGTTCTGAAACGGATGTTTTTGGTTAAATCCACCCATGTTCTACTGCCGTTTACCAAAGAAGTGGGGAAACGTTGAGTAACAAGTTTAGACAAAAGTAGTCCTTTGTCGTGGCAGCGAGGCAACTACAAATAGTTTTTTTTCCTGTGCTTTTGCGCCATCTGAAAAGTGTCTCACCTTTTGCAGCGTCCTGGGTCTGAAGTCCATCAGCTAAAACCAGCTGCTTCCCTCCACTATCGACATTCTTCTTCGTCTTCTTCTTCCTCTTCTGGCTGCTCCTCAACCAGCTGATGGCCTGTCCCAGGGAGCTTCCCGGCTTCCTGTGGCCGCGTTGAGCTTTCACCTCGCGGCCGACGATTTCGGTGACGTCCCAGGGAACCAGGTCGCCCGTCGACCTCCTCCGGGACATGGCGGAGGTTGGGCCCGGCAAGGTCCCGATAAAGCCGGGTGAGTCCGTTGAATATCCAAATGTTTCCGGAAAGTTGGCCGTGTCCGTCCTCCTCGGACTTTGCTCCGCTTCGTCACCACCTGGGACAACAATGAGATCAGCAGGATGGGAAAGAGAGGAGGAGGGAGGATAGACGGTGTCGAGAGAGATTTAGTATCGTTGACTAAAACAAATGTGCATCCCAGATTGTCCAGTGGAACTGCGACACCGGTTGACTTCCAAGTGGTTCGAACTTCAAAAAACATCCACTTTTCCCTGTCTTGTCACCGTTATCCAACCTTGCACAGCTCGTGTTTTCCGTATTATTTCAACGTTATTAACATCATACGAGCAAAACTCCAATTCTGCGTGTGTTCAATGCTTATAACCCTGCGAGGCCAATTATATTTGATAGCCTGTCTATGGCATTTTGTATTCTGTCATTTTGAAACTGACTGTTACTATAAGGCAAAGAATGCTCTGTGGTTGTTTTATATACACCCGTTCCTCTCCCTTACTTCGCCACAATCACTTCCATTTCCAGATCTGTGTTTTTCGTTGCGGGTACTCTTCTGCGGAGGCACACCTCCCCGACAAGACCAAGAAAAGGATAGCCTAGCTTACTGTACATGTTTGAAGGTTTGTTTTGCCTTGTTTAGAAAATATTGGTTGAACTCCAAATTTTGAATTCCATTCCAGTTTCTGCGACATTTGTTTACCCTCACCCTCGCTTCTCTCGTCTTCCATTTTTGTTTCTTTGGAGAAGCCCGTGAAGGACTATTGCGCCACATGTTTGCCGGATTTAACATACAGTACGCGCACGCCCGGGAGCATGTATGGTTAAACCGTAAAGCAAAAGCAAATTAGAAATACATGCAAGCAAGACTCTCAAACTTACTTGTACAGGTCCACTCTAGGTCTCGGCTGTGGTCTTTTAGTCTTGTGGAGTTTGTGTGTGTGCATGCATGTGTGAGACTGAAGTTCCATCATGCTCTCTGAACAGTCAGTCCCTCCCTCTCCTCCTCCCACCTCTCACAGGGCTGTGATCTACACCAATCCAGCCTCTCCTTGCACTCCTGGACACTCTTGAGACAGTTTTGGTCCTTTTTTTTGTTTTTCTGGTTAGAATTCTAGTCTGTGCCTCATCGTTAGTCTCATTTCAAAGGAATCAGGTGCATTCACGCCAGGCTTGTTGGAGGAGCCACTGAAATATTAGCGCAGTGTGCTCCGTGATGGAAGGAAGCCCAATTGGAGCGTTCCCGTTTCGGTCACAGGACACACAACACTCACACACACAACATCTGGGAGTGGGAGTGGAGACAAGCAAGCGTCACTTCATGCAGCTGGGCGGGTGGGTTGGGTAATCGGGGGCGCGGTTAGCGGGATTTGCTCATCTGGTTTGCATGTGGCCCAAGACCCACAGGGCAAGAGGGAACAGGAGGGGGAGGCCCCCAAGAGGCTCACTGTCAGTCAGATGAAGGCAAAATTCGACTAATAGTTACCGTTGTTAAATAAAAACAAAAAAAAAAGGGCAAAATTCGACTAATAGTTACTGTTGTTAAAAAAATAAATAAAAAAATAACATAAAAACAAGCACTGCCATGAAAAAAAATGTTTTGAATGCTTCCCTCCCCAGAAGGTTTGCTGTAAAAAAAAAAAAAAAAATCAGCCCCAGGCTAAACTTATGACTGTGGAGTAGTAAAAAATCTGGCATATGCAGCTATCCAAATTGATGTTGATCCAAATGTAGAATGTTTGAACATTGCAGCACGTTGGACTTGTGGTTAAGAATGTCTGCCTCACCTTTCTGTAGTTCAGGATTCAAATCCCAAGATAGGCCTTCCTGTGTCGAAATTGCATATTCTCCTTGTGCTTCAGAACGACGACAGATGTCCCGGCACTCGCTGGGGCAACACGGTTCACTAGTGGTGAGCACATCGGCCTCACAGTCAATGGGGTTCTGGGTTTGAATCTCTCGGTGTCTTGCAATCACAGCAGGAACGTGAAAACTTGAAACCAGAACCTCTCAACTGTGAGGCAGACGTGCTAGCCATTAGCACAGCGAGCTGCCCCGATGAGTCACTTCAGCCACTCCTCATTGTGATTTGCGTTTAATGATCCTCCCCGCCCCAATCAGGGGGCTTCAGATGAGCAGACTTTGTTAACTTCCCCTTCAAAAACACATGCCATGAAATATTTTTGCGACAGGAATTCCTGGGAGGGTGTGGTCGTTTTGCGGCCGAGTGATGGAACCAAAACAGGCTGCAGCTTTCCATCCCCGCTCTTGTCTTGTCCGTCTGTCTGCAGAAGATTGCCGCATCTGTTTTCTGTCCGTCCACTTCGCGGGGCTAAGGGGGGGGGGGGTTCTTTTAAAACCTGCCGTTAATGTTACTGGTGACCCCTGGAAAACTCGCCCGCGCCTCTTTCTGATTGTTATCGAAGCAGCACGATTGAACATGAATTAAAAGGAGGTGGGGTTAAAAAAAAAAAAAAGTGTTTATGAGGAAAGACGACATGCTGATGTGTTTAGTCTGCAGATGCAGAAGAAAAGGTCTCTGGTAATCTCAGCAGGACATTCAGTTCTGAACCAGAACCCCTTAAATAGTTGACGCCACCCTGCTCACACACTCTTGAACCCTCCCTCCTCCTCAAAAGAAAAGAAAAATGACGCCCGAGTTCAACACAGTCCTCAACTCGATCCAAGACATTTTGTCACGGTGTTGGATCACTTCATCCGTGGACATAATGTCATGTCAACAACAATCTTCCTCTCTCCCACCCAAAGTCCAGACTTGCCAAAACACACTGTGACAACATGGTTGTCAAGGAAACCGGATGACAGGACCTGCAAATATTTTGGCTACTTGGAGAAGGGCACACAAAGAAAAATAACCATCCTTCCATCCATTTTTGATATTGCTTGCTCTCATGAGGTTCCTCGATCATCTGAAGCCTGTGCCTGACTGAATAGTTTGGTTGAGAGGCAGGGTACACCCTGGACTGATCGCCAGACAATCACGGAGCACTGAAAATACTGACACACATACAGTAAGTAGTACAGAAAAAAAACAATTTGCACAAATCTAAAATGTGGTCGGGCTGTGTGTACTTTCATCTAGTGTAGTAGCAGCAAAGATAATAAATGTGGGACGTCGTGTAGCGCCATCTTGTGGACACAATTGGAAAGCAATGACAGCACATTAAAAATGGGGTCTGACTACTTTCTGGTATGTCATTATATAAGTCACACCTGCTTTGCACGAGAACCGACGGCAGTCTTTCGCCCTGTTGCTATTTTCTTTCGTTTTAATCCGCGACTCATCCTCATTACGTTCCGCTGGAATGGAAGAAGAGCACCGCCTGCCCTCTTGCTCTATTGTAGGGGTCACAAGTTGAGGGGAAATCGATCCTCCCCGAAGGGAAGAAGCCACTTGTTCATGGGGAGTTATTTAAAGACCGCTAAATAATGAGGAGGCATGGATGGAATCTTGAAGCCTGAGTGCCATCATCATCGTCATGAACATGCACGCACACAAACATCAGTAAAGCTTCTCGGAGCTGCTCTGGACCACTAGTAGAACCAGTCACATTGTTTTGATGTATGGGGGGGAGGTGAAATCGGTCCCGTACACTAACTACAGCTTGATTTAACACAAACACACACTGTGTTGACACTTGTGGGGACCACATTTTCTTACGCTTCCAGAAGTATGGGATCGCGCATTACAGGGACACATACACACACTCAAACAAACAAAATGATATTTTTATGGGAACCAACTTTATTACCTATTTAAGTGTCTGTCCGGGGAGTGTATTTTATTAAAAAATAGTAAATATCTAAAATAAAAAAAAGGGTGGTATTTCTGATCAATGTGGTCTTGTTTCCGGGCAGATGAATAGTCCCTCCTGCTTCGGCTCTTCTTTCTCGCCCAGCCTCTTGTGTTTATTAATACATCAAAACAGATTTAAAGTAGTCATGGTCACACATAACTGTAGTCCGACTGAGGAGGGCAATGCGAGAGCGGGGGGGGGGGGGCCTCTGGATCTTTATACCCCCTCCCACGCATTACACCCTCTCATTCTGCTTTGTCATTTGAACCGCAACTGGATTCATGCGCAGGCAGAGCAAACCTGCATGTCCAATAACAAGTAAGTTAGTGCTGATTTTTACATTGCAGTTGACTTTGAGTAGAGCGGCTGGAATACGTTCTAAACGTACACGTAACTTCCGTGTGAGGAAGTGGTAGACTCAATGTGTTGAGCATGGGCATCTGAAATACGTCAGCAGGTGAAAGAAGCATGGCTGTACTGTATGTTACTTACGATATCTGTGTCATTTCTGTTTCCTTTTATCAGAGGTTGGATCGTAAAGTAGACGCAAACAGCGGGTTCAAGTATCGGAGCCCCGCCATGGAGGACGACGACGATCCGTCATCTGATTTCGAACCACTGTTCATCCGAGAAGAGAACGGGGACCCCGAGACCAACTGGTCTACTCTCGATTTTACAAGGACGCACATGAGTCAGCCGTCTTCAATGGGGCCGTACTTGCTGGAGATGGATGACTTGCTCAAGAGGTGCGAGGAGCTCACGGATATCCCGCTCGAGTCGGACCCGGAACAGATGCTTGGCGAAAGAGAAACATCGCCGTATTTTTCCACAAGTCACACTGGGAATACAATGGGGATGGCGGACGAGTGCGCAGAACACCAGTTCCATGAGGACATGCCGATCACTTCGTCGGGTAACAAATTGAGCAGCACCATGGTGCAGTACGAAGGTCAATTGATGGGGATGTTGGCCATGCTGGAGAGCTGTATGGACGAGGCGCCCGTAGATTTGCAGATGAACCAGGAGTATGTGCATGTGAACAAAGTCAAGGACATGACGTCGGAACGTCAGAGCGTTGGTCACCGGGATCCCTCAAGGAACAGGTCTGAATCGGAAGTCCACGACCAAGAGTTCAAGTATTCCAAGCCGTCGATGACAGTCGGTTGTACTTCCCGAGTGGATGATGTCAACGTCACAGATTCTCCAACAGAGTCCTTGGAGATGGAAATGAGTTTTGGAGTGGATGGATTCCAGACACTGGCAAGTCAGATGGAGAAGTGCATCGAGGAGCTGCAGCGCTTAGAAAGGAAGCGGAAGGACTTACTGGGGGAGGTGCTACAGCTGAGGCGACAGGAAGCCAAAGAAGAAGAAGAAGAAGAAGCAACAGCGTCAGATTCTAACATTTCAAACAGAGTAAATGAGTTGATGGCGGTGCTGAGAAAGGAGGAGGAAGACCGGAGAGAGGAGAGAAAGAGGGAGGTGCAGCTCCTCAGGTCGGAAGTGGCCGAAGAGGAGCGGCGAGTGTGGAAGGCGGAAATGGAGAAGCAGGAGTTGCGCGACGAGATGCGCAAGCTAAAGAGGCAACTCTTCACCAAGGCCAAGGAGAGCGCGCACATTCAGGCAGCCCTCAACAAGCGACGTCATGAAACGGATCTCCAGAAGAGAGAGGAGGTAAGTCACTAAATGTTTGGGATATTCAGCTTTCAACAAAGATCATCTGCTTGTTGGAGTACAGCACAAGCACTGAAACCTTCTTTCCATTTCAGGTTCCTTAAAAAAAAAAAAATTGACCCAAAAGCTGAATATCTAAAATTCTTTACGAGAAGTTTATCTTTAACCCTTTCGGGGAAAGTGGCTACTTCAGTGGACAGCTTATCATGCTATCACGTATGAAAGGGTTAACAAGAGATTCCTGACGTATGTACCCAATGCCCATGCCCTCCATTCCATCCTCCAGGAGAAACTGCAGACTTTGTTCCAGCAAATGACAGAGGAGGGCTCACAGCTCAAGTCACAACATCAGCAATATCTCCGGGACCTCCGAGCAGAGATTTGCGTTTGCACTGCCAGCCGGACTTGCAACACGACGCAGGAGGAGCTGTCCAGGAGGAACTCCTGCGGGGACATCCAGCAGTACCTGCAGGACAGCCTGAGAGCCCTTGAGAACAGGTACTGAATTTCACTCACCATTTCATCTTTCCATATACATTTTTGATTGCTATCTTCACTATTATTACCGCTTTGTGTCAATGAATACAGTAGAGCTTCACTTACCGATTGTGTTGGACTCTTTACCCCAAACTCTGATCTTGGCTTTCCAGGTACGAACCCGTGTTGCTGGGCCTTCAGAAGAGGAAAGAGACAACAACTAGGGCTTCTTTAAAAGCTAAAGAACAGACCCGAGAGCTCAAAGCCCAGCTTGGACCCTTGCGGGAGGAGATGCAAGCGCAGGTGCTGCAGAGGGCTCGCTTGGAGGAGAAACTTAAACTCGTTCACGTACAGAGGAGAGAGGACGCTGAGCACTACGAGGTGACGTGAGATGCAGAGGAATGTGTACAACGGAGCTGACGTGATAAGTATCTTCACTGTTTTAGGAGAGCATCCGTTGTCTCGAGCGGAGCAGCAGAGAGCTGAAGATGGAATTGACGGTACAGAGAAGAAAAAACAAAGAGGCGGCAGATTTGCGAGACTGCCTTTCCAAACAAATCCTTCTTTACAGGTGAGATCCATGCTGTTGATGGATTTTGTATTTGGCGTTGCACTCGAACAACTTTTCCCAACAGGTCAGCTGCTGGCGACCACCAGAAGTCCGAGAACCAAAAGGAAGCATGATTTACACCTCTGGATGAGGCTTTTTTTTTTTTTTTTTACGTAGAGCTTGGAATATAGAATGCACTTTACACATTTCTGTATTGTTTATGAAGGTAGTTTGTGGAAATGTTTTTATGTATTTCATTAACATGGTCATTTGGGGTGGAGCCTTAGATTTGCGGCTGACCGCTTATTTGCGGAAGTGGGCCCCAGGGGTCAGCTAACCTTAGAGAGCCAACTATGTGTATACAAGCAATAAAACATTAAAAATATCCACCATATGTCCCCTTTAAGTCATCATATGCTATGAGCGATGGGGGTTAGTTCATGTAGTTTGTCTTTTCTAATGTAGTTTTCATCTATTCTTTCTTAATAAACGACACTGGTCATTTTGGATGTTTTATGCACTGTCATCATCATGGTGAGCAAGTGGTTAGTTTAGTCGCCTCATAATACTGAGGACTACGGATTGGTATTAACTTCCGGGGTTGAGCGGCGCTAAGTAAGAAGTCTGCCGGACACCGCTGTAGCACCCCAGCTAACCGACGTTCCCCCGTGGCGGCCATGTTGGCAGGGGCGACGGTTGCATAAAAGCTAATGGATGGATGTGGGAATGTTGTAATAACTTCTTAATTTTGTGAGCGATTTTCATTACTGTCACTTATTTTGTGATTAACAATACATGTCCTATCAACGCAGAACAGTTTTGGTGATAATTATTCACTGGCGACAAATTCAGTTTTAGCCATAAAAACTTATTCCAAGTTCCCTTGTCGTAATTGGCCGATGTTGTTTACAACCGTATGCAGCATCATGTGCCGGCATCCTTTTCCAGCCGCCTACTCCATTAAAATGGTGACGTCTTTGCCCTTCCTAGCTTAGCGTCGCGGTCGACCGTCAGATAGAAAGGGGCGTGTCTTACCTGCCCCTGTTCATATTTAGGACGTTGCCAATGTGTCTTTAAAAACTGCTAATAAATTAGAAGTAATAATGTCTTCAGCTGATCTATCCCAGGTTTTCGACCTCGTGCGTTCCCTATATTGCCACACACAAACGCTGGAGGAGTTTACGGACAGAATCGTGTTCCAAGAGGGTCACAAAGTGGTTCTTGTCGAACAGGCGGACTCTTACGCCTTTAAATCCTTCGTCGGGAGCCTTGTCGTCGGCTACGACGACGAGCTTCAGCACGTGCCGAGCTGCCACCAGGTAAAAAAGTCGGTAACACTTTCAAGTTAGTGGGTTATTTAGCCTGTTAGTCATTTATATCTTCAGGAGTCCTTTAAAAGTTATTGTATTTATTTAGCCGTCTCCTCCTCGAAAACATGTTGATTGAAATGTATTTATTTTTTCAAATTAATGTACTGTATTTCGTTTAAATACTTAATTCATTGAGGAAAAAAAGTTGTAAAAATTATTTGCTAGTTTTTCAGTTTGAACATTACATGTCTCGTCTTTGTAGTGTATAGGTTGAACATGATTAGCAAATCATTGCATTGTTTTTATTTAGCTTTGACACAACATCCCAACTTCATTGGAATTAGGTTTGAAGATATCATTAATTATCCCCCCCCCAAAAAAATCTCAAGCTAAATTGAACATTTTTGTTATTTCTGAAGTATGTATTAAAATGAAATATTTTTGCATGAATCTGTTGGCCCACCCAAGGAGTAGCTCCCAGTTTAGTTTCAAAAAGCTTGGTTACCCCAGAGCTAGCATGTGTTGTGCGCGTTTATTGTGGCGCCTTATTCCTAATTTGAATGTAAAAAAATGTACTTTGTCTCCTCTAAGGCACTCTCACTTCGCGCGACAACCCATGAAGCAATATCATGTTTTTTGTTTTGTATCGCTTTCCACAGGTCAGCACTCTGTCGGAACTGTTGGCCTTCATTCTCAATAGCCTGAAAAGGAAGAAAAAGCACAACATCTTGGTACGCGGTTACAAACTGCTGTGCGTGGACCAGCAGGAGAGTGACATTGACCACTTCAAGTTCCAGGGTGAAGTCAGTCAGAATGTTGCCAACATCCACACCAGTGACCTGTGGAAGAAATTGGCCCTGCGTCTCGGCACGGACATCACTCGCCACCTGCTGGAGAACTGCTCCATTTTTGTCATGGTGCCGCCGTCGTGCGCTTTCCAGGTGTGCGGCTTTCCCATCTACGACAAGGTTTACAAACCCGTCGTCCGCTCTGGGTTTTGCCTCCAGACTCGATTCGGGACCCGTTGTAATACTAGATCTGCGAAGAGTCGACGTGCAGTGAGCTTGAAAAGGGGGGGGTTTAGAGCCCCATATCAGAAAAGGAAGAGAGAAATCATTGAGGAGGATGAGGAGGACACGCTGCGTTCTGGAAAAAGGAGACGTCTCGCAAAAGCTCAGGAAGTTAAAGAGACAGTTGAAAAAAGACAGCCGGTGTACTTCAAGCCCGTGGAGATAAGCGGTGATGTCTTTCAGCAAACAGCTGAAACAGGCACAGCTCCTTTGGAAACAAGACCCAGTTGGAGATCAGGCATTTTCCCCCCTTTGCCTCCCTCGCAGTGTTTCATAAGAACCATGGCCTTCCTGTATGGTTGCCAGGGTATGAACGGGTTCCTCCTCAACAGGAAGAAGAAAAGTGCGGCGGGCTCGAGACGAATACAAGGTCCCGATCTGGTGAGAATAATTTTCTTCGAGGGGCTGGCCTATCTGAACGGACTGGAGAGGAAAACGAAGAAGCTCCCCCGTCGCTTTTTCAACATGGTCCACCTTTTTAGCCAGCTTTTGCGTCAGCACAGGAGGTACGCCTACAGCAGAACGCTGCAGCGACTGTGCCCTCTGGTGCGGAGCGACCTGCCCCAAGGTGAACTCAGCACCCTTTTGCCCAAACATTGTCGGCCTCACCGGGTCTACCTTTTCGTGAGGGAGTGCCTGTGCGCCGTCGTCCCCTTAGAGCTTTGGGGCTCCTTGGAAAACCGTTGTCATTTTTTGGCGCGGGTCAGGGGCTTTTTGTGCAGCAGTAAGTATGAAAAGATTTCCATTGCGGAGCTGATGTGGAAGATGAAGGTGAATGACTGCGACTGGTTGAAGATCAGTAAGAAAGGTGAGATCAGAGGGAAATAAAATGCAAAAAACCCCAGTTCTCGGGCGGCTTAATAAAAGACCTCTAGCATTCTGGTCAAAACACCACCATTAGTACCCACTTGTTGAAGTCCTCTTGAAATAAAACGCCTTTTGGGGGCCTGCTGTTTGCAGGCCGGATCCCACCCAGCGAGCTCACGTATCGGACCCGAGTGCTCGGTCAGCTGCTCGCTTGGCTTCTTGACGGCTACGTCGTCGGCCTCGTGCGAGCTTGCTTCTACGCCACAGAAAGTGTGGGTCAGAAGAACGCCCTGCGGTTCTACAGGCAGGAGCTTTGGGCCAGACTGCAGGAGCTTGCCTTCAGGTGGGCATCCCACCAAACGGCGTGCATGGTCAGTGTGGGTAACGAAGCTCATGGTCGCCGTTTGTGCTTATAGAGATCACCTTTCTGTGGGACACTTGAAGGAATTGACTCAGGCTCAGGCGGATTGCCTCCCCAAGAGCACCATCATCAAGCATCTGCGCTTCATCCCAAAGGCGGTTACAATGAGGCCTATCATGCGAGTTTTTGGAGTAGACGCCCAGACGAGGGTACTTTCCTCACTTATGTTCCAAAATGTTTTACTTTGTAGTTAAACAATACAAATACCCTCTCATCCCTCGCTTTAGGCCTTCCAAAGGAAGATATGTGACCTGAGGGATGTCTTGCGAGCCTGCGTACGCGTCTCTCCCTCCCTCCTGGGTTCCACAGTGTGGGGGATGACTGATATCCACAAGGTGTTGACCACTCTTGTGCAGGCCCAGCAGGACAACCCAGAGCCCCTCTACTTTGCTAAGGTTGGACATCATTTGCACTTTAAGGCTGTCAAGTGACACTTCTTTTATTCCCAAAATACATTCACAGTCGTGTAAAAAGTGCACAGTCTGGCTCCCCCTAGTGGTACGCAAAGGCAATGGATTCAGTTGTCCACACGCCGTCGAAGCACAAGAAGATAATGTTACAGGTTCACTTATTTAATCCAGTATTTTTTATTTATTTATTTATTTTTTAAATGTAAAATACATTTTTTGTTTGCAAACATTTACTTGGATACATTTTGTAGTTGACTCGTGCAATGTATTTTATTTGAATCACAGAAAAAAGAAATAATGGTGTCATCCTTCCATTTCTCACTTTAAGGTGGACGTCAGCGGAGCATACGAGAGTCTGCCCCATGACGAACTTCTCCATGTGGTCAGCGAAGCCCTGTCGCTTGCCAACGAGAAGTCCTTCAACATACGCAGTTACACCTCGTTGTGGGTGGATTCTTTCGAGGGCCTGAGGAAGTCTTTTGTTAGACGGGTATGAACAAAACTTCGATGGGTCCTTAAGAATATTCTATCCAGTCCTAGAGTTTTTTTTTTTCTTCTCCTTGTGCAGGCTGACTTTGTGACGGATGAGATGGGCTGCAGCAACATGAAAGGGTTTCTGACGGCCCTGCAAAGAAACGACAGAGCTCACCACTCCATCATGGTGGAGCAGGTTGGGGTGGCATCCTCAGATAGTACTCACAGATCACTACATTATGATGTCGTTTCCACGTTTGTGCTCATTTGAGCTACTTTTCAGGACTTGGCCACAAATATTCACAGCCAAGAGATCCTTCAGTTCTTCACCCACATGTTGACCCACAGCTTTGTACGGTTTGGGAAGAGGTAAGGTTTGAATTTGTAGTCGTATTAACATGGCCTTGCACATTGTAATTCTGGACTTGGACCCTCTCAGAACCTATCGTCAGCTTTGCGGGATTCCCCAGGGATGCTCCGCATCCACTTTGCTCTGCTGTCTCTGCTACGGTCACATGGAGAATGCCCTGTTCCAAGGAATGGAATTAGCCAAAGGGTACAGTGCATATGTACAGGGGGTTCTTGCTTTACGATGGTCCTGACATTCTGAATGGCGTATTTAGTTGTCGCGGCGCATGAGTGTTACCACTCTCCATTCACTGTTTTACGATGCCTGCAAGTATTTACTGGAATAATGTCGGTTAGTACAAATTTGCCTACAAATTCGGGTCACATCGCTGCCAAAGAAACAAAACTGTTGTGTAGCGGGGACGCCCTGTACCTACCTACTCGGATTTATTTTGCTTTTCTAAAGTCCTGCAGATGTAGTAATACCATTTTAGCAGGAGAGGGCAGCGTCTTGAAGCTGGTCATTTTTTTTTCCCTCTGTCTCCTCCAGACGATTGATGAGAATGGTGGATGATTTTCTTCTGATCACGCCCAGCCTCAGCGAGGCACAAAACTTTCTCAAGTACGGCTCCCCGCAATGCACTTATTTCTAATTTCAGCCTGGCTCCGGGGACTTTGCATGTTCTCCCCGTGTCAGCTGAGAGAAACTCCAGTTTACATGAAGTCTGCGTGAGACGTTGTCATTTTTACAGTCTTCTTTTTTTTTTTTTTTTTTTAATGTGTTCAGGGTCTTGTTCGCCGGCGTTTCGCAGTACGGCCTGGTGGTCAACCCGCACAAGGTGGTGGTCAACTTTGAGCTGCAGGAAGATCTGTCTTCCTATGCCGGCATCCAAACGCTGGCCTCCCATTGCCTCTTCCCATGGTGCGGCTTGTTGCTGGACACATCTTCTCTCAACGTCTATAATGATTACTCCAGGTGAAGCCGCTCGTCAACTGTAAATAATATACCATAGGCTTTTTTGTTCTCAGATTTGTCATTGTGCTTTTGCTGGTCTTTTATGGTCTCTCATAATTGCAAGCAAAACCTTGCTGCACTTTGCACCTAGTTAGAAAACATCATAAGAGATAACTCCCGGTCTTGCATGTAGCGACGGATGCGGTGGAACCTCCAATGTTGATCACGGCTTTGATCAAGGTGTTCAAACTTCAAAAACATTTCTCATAAGAAATAAAGTGGATCAACGTGCTCGACCGAAATTTAGAATTGAATTGGCAATGACTCCTAAATTCCAATTCAATTCTTGAATTAGAATTTGAATTCATACATTTCAGACAAATATTATTATTAGGACTGCATGTCGTAATTATTTTTTTATTAACGATAGAAGCCTTCTCGGAAAAAAAACAGATCATTAGAATTTGTAAAAACTCTGAAATTCATTGATATGGTGGTAGAACAGCACTTCATTTTGGAATACCTTGCTTCATGTAAGTCTTTGAAAATGGCCGAATTATAAAATTCCAAATTTTGCACCAGCCTGAAAAATGAATTGGTGTGTCGCAACTCATTTTGACTTGCAATGGACTTTGGACTGAACAGCCAACCCTTTCATATACTGCAAGTCCATAAGATTAATTTCTGCTTCTATTTACACTCCTGTGGTGACGACACAAGCAAACAAAAAAAGATGCTCACTGAGCTGAAGTCCACAGAGAATCATGTATGATGGTGGCTTGACTTCTTCCACAGCTACTCGGGCCTGTCTCTGTTCCAGAGCCTCACTTTGGGCACTTTCCAATCGGCGGGGGAGCAAATGAGGAGGAAGTTGATGAGGATCCTGAAACTCAAGTGCCACGCCGTGCTCTTGGACTTGAAGGTCAGCCAAAGATTTATTGCAATTTCCTTCCTACAGGGGCCGTTAAATACAATTCTCTGAAATTTCTTCTCTGGGGATCAATTGTTAATTCTGTCAATTTGTAGCTCTTGGTGTGAGGTTTATTAGCTAAGTGATGATTAAAAGCTGTAACATGTGATACGATAATAGCCTCATGGTGCCTCGTTGCGGCTTCGAAAGCATTCTTATCGAAAATTGAAGAGCTCATCAGTGTGGCAGTAAGTTGCGATAGCTATTAAGCAAGAGGTGAGGAGCCTTTTTTTTTTTCTGTCAGGAGCCTTTTTAGTTCCAGACATCGGAAGGCCAGGAATTTGTGTGCGTGTTGTGTGTTGCGTGGGAGGCTCGATAAAATGCTCCGGCGCATTGATTCTGGACAGCCTATTCTGAAATCCTTCAATATGAACATTAAATATGCATAATGTTGCCGTGGCTTCAATTTGTATTTTATTTTATTATGATACAATTGAGTTGTTTTAACTTTTACGTTCAAGTGATTTGCATGTATTTCTTTTAATCCCATATGATACAATTGAGTTGTTTAACTTTTACGTTCAAGTGATTTGCATGTATTTCTTAGGAACCGTCTGTTCTGAAACATTTTAAGGTGCCGTTTTTATTGAACACGTGCAATACATTTCAAATGAATTTGTACAGTTTTGTTTTTTTTTGTTTTTTTTTCATTTCCCTACATTTAAGTGCAATCTCCATGTTTACTCTGTGTAAAATGATACAGCGACAATAACATTGAGATATGCTTGTTAAGAATAAAACCTCCGCCCGCCTGGTAATTAACACTTGGACATACAACGCTACTGCCGTGAGGTTTTTTTTTTCCTCCCTGCGTAATACTTGCTGTAAAAAGTAATATAATCACCGCTCAAGTGGGCCCTCTGTGATCCACTCGCATCAGCTTGACCACCCGCACTAATATTCCATTTCATTTATATTTTTATGGTTGTCAATATCATAATTTTCCTTTTCCCCCCTTCCCTTGCAGACAAATACCGTGACGACAGTCTACAGTAATATCTACAAGTTGGTGCTACTCCATGCATTCAGGTCAAGACTTACCCCAGACTACAATAGTCAAGTTTTATTCATCGCTTGTTCTTACATGCGGGTGCTTGATATTTTGGAAAGGGTTTGAGTTAAAGTTCTTTTGGCTTTATAAGATGACAATTCCTGCGAAAACATTTTGCATTCAAGCATCTGCACGGCAATTGTGCTTATGACACCACTTCCTGTCTGAGCCATGACTTAATAAAAGGCTGGTTAATCAACTACCTACAATGACCGAAGAATTGACTTGACATTCATCACACGATGCAAACCCTTTTCATTTCCCCTTTGGGCTATTTTTAGATTCCATGTGTGTGCCCAGAGTTTACCTTTTGGCCAAACGGTTGCAAAGAACCCTGCCAACTTTCTGCGGATGGTATGGGACATGGCTCATTATGCCAATAAGCTCTTCAGGCAGAGCAACAGAGGTATTTCCACGCAGATGTACTTCAAATATTGGGGCTCACTTAAAGTTAACAATTAAATTATATTGTTTGTTTGTTTGTTTGTTTTTTTTGTCCTTGCAAATTTCTGCTTCGAATTGTTAGGCTATGAGGTCCTGGATGGCATTGTGCCAAGGGAGGCAATGGAGTTGCTTTTCTGCCTTTCATTTCTACTGGTGTTGTCGCAACATCGCTCCCTGTACAAAGGCATGATTCCGCATCTGCATAAATGTAGGTGAACTCAGGAAAGCATGGAAATGCGCAACATGTTCAAAGTTTCTTATTCCAAAAAAAAAAAA